CCCCCCCCCCCAGCTGCCTGGAGCCCTGCAGGGGTCACACACCGGGTCCCGTTTGGACAAGGCTGGTCCTGCCCTGGACTGGATGTGACCCCGCAGATCCCTGCCAGCCTCTGCTTAGCAGATCCAGGGCTGCCTGGGAGCTCCCTGGCACATAGGGACTGGAGGAGGGCAGGGAGGATTGGGGGAGAAACAGATCCCACGTTCCCTGCACCCTCCGCATGGGTCCCCAGGGACTCCCCGGCCGGGGCTGTAGAGGGTCCCTGCCCCGGCACAGTGGCCAGGACGGGTCTTGGTCTCTGTCTCTCCTGAGCTCCAGGGAACAGTTTTGCAACGACGTGTGTGCAGAGTTTGCCTGCACGCGGCCCAGCCGGAGCAGGGAGACCAGGACCTGGGCTCAGCGGACACCCGGTCCTGTCAGTCCGGATGAAGCAGGGCCAGGCCAGGCAGCGCCTCGGAGGTCTCGGGAACCCCATGCCCCCTCCCCACCCATAGACTTACCTGCAGGGAGCTGCTCTCCACACTGCAGGGCTGTGTCCTCAACCACATGCACGTGTGTGGGCATGCACACTCACGTGGCACCCCCTGTGTCCCGCTTCCCTCAGCCCCAAGCGGCCCCTTGCAGGCTGGATCACTGCCCGCCTGCACAGAGAAACCCGCCGTTTCCCGTGGATCCTGCACGATGCTGCGAATCTGGGACAAATGCTGTCCCGGAGCCGTGCAGCTCAGGACCGGGACTTGATGTTCCCATTCTGGGACTGTCCTGCCCAGTCCTGCCCAGTTAGGGACAGGGGGGTTACCCTAACTCTTTGTGCTTCAATGATAAACCGACGAATCCATCTCGTGGCCCCTCACGTGTACAAGCGCCCCAGCAGAGTGGTAAAGCCCCTAGTTTCCTTTACCTGGAGGAAATGATGCTCTGTTTTATGTGATGATTTGAGGCCATCTGCGCCGCCTTTGCAAGATCCAAGACCCGCCCATGTTAATGCGTGTTTCTAATTTGGCTTTCTAGGCTAACGAGAGGTCGCTGGGCACGCTAGGCTGAAAGCAGGGCAGAGATGCACCTTACAGACCCGCTCAATCGCGGTGCTTAAGCTTTTGGTAGCCTGAGCTCATCTCATCAAAGACATACAAAAAACTAGAACTCTTGGTTCCAAAATGAGACCTTTTATTAGACCAACTGGAAAACGGCAAGCAAATTGTCCTTTTCTGCAAGCTTTCGGGATCAAAGTCCCTTCGTCAGGCTCTGGGAAAAGTGTAGATGGTACGAGGTGGTAAAAAGTCCCCATAGGTAGGAAATAAACTTCATTTTTGCACAGAGGGAGCTGGAGACGGACGTCCGTCCCTCTGGGTCCACGAGAGGACACTACCTACGGGGACTTTTTACCATCTTGTACAACACTGCGTGTTTTTGGGAGTGACTTTTTCCATCTTCCGACAGGGCTCGCGGGTGCCCAGCCGTCGCCATTTCTTTCTGCATCCCGTTCTGTTTGAATGATAACTTTTAGAGATGGGATAACCGGTGCTGAACTGTCCACGAAGGCTCCCACTGGGGCTGGGAAGGGCCATGTCTCCTGGGTCAGGCTGG